CTATTTTCAACTAAAATTCTTTTCATATGCTACAGATAATCATTAATTTTTGCAAACAGTTTACCGTGCTTGGATTGAGAATAATAAATTTTTTCTATGCTTGATATTTTAGCTTTTTGGATGAAAGTTGAAGTAATTACTTAGTAAACAATGAGTTTCATGTAGTGGTAGCCCTATAGCGGAAGAGTAGGATCCACGCAAAAATAAAACAAATATTCCAGCAAGGCCTTGTATATTGGATGCACCGGCTCTATCTTTCCATTCTTGGGATGCTAAATAATAACTCATCTCTTGTTCACTAAGGCGTTTAAACTTTACTATTGTGACCACAGTTTTAACATGCTGTTTTGACTGATCAGGAATTAATAGACAGATACTAGTATATACTCTATGTCTTCTACCTGATAGCAAGCGAATACATTTTTCTGCCATCTCAACATTTTCTGCTTTGGGCAATATTCTCCTACCGCATGCCACTACAGTATCAACGCCTAATACAAAATAATGTGGATAGGAATTTTGTACTTTTTTAGCTTTGCTTTTCGCCATGCGGATTGAATAATCTTTAGGAAGTTCCTTCTCTATAGGAGTTTCGTCTATATCTGCAGGCACAATCAAACCCGGCTTAATATTTATTTGTTCTAATAAAGCCACGCGCCTTTTTGATGACGAAGCAAGTATCAGCTTACTTAGATATTGTTCTTTCACTTGTACCTTTTAGCCTTCTGCTTATCCGACCCTTTTTTGCGTTTCTATCGTATATACTCATTTCAACCAATACTCTATCTCCAATAATTATGCGTATCTTACTTCTCCTTACTTTACCTGATACGTGACAGATAATTTCATAATCATTATCTAGTTTGACTCTGAACTCTGCGGCTGGCAATAAAGCAGTTACTAATCCCTCTACTTCAAAAAGTGTTTTTGATTTTTCATCTTTTATCATATGCTGTATTATAATTTACTTAGTCTATCACAGATTTAAAAATATTATCAACTGCAATTTATAGGATTTTTATCTATT